TGGCTGTCGATCCGTTCGCCGAGCTTGGCAAGTGGCTTGCAAACGTTTCGTCACCATACGAGGAGACATCATCAGTGCGCAGTTGGATGGGTACTTCTTCCTTGCCTGCGTGTGTTTATATAGCAGTCAAAGGCCATCTGTTATCTTCTGACGTGATTGGCTACCTGAAGTGTAACGAGTCTAGTGAATCTATTGGTCCGTTTGTGATCCTTGTTGCGTTATGGTCTATGTTCCTTTGTGATGTTTGGTTATCCCAACGGCTTCTAATTTTAGTAGCTTGTTCTCTCTGGCCTTGATTCGCATTGCGTTGTGGTCTGCCGTTCTCGAGTTTGATTGGTTGCTTGTACCGCCCTATTTCCTCCACCGTGGCGGTTAATGTCCCTGCGTCCGCCGGTTGATTTGGTGCTTTGATTGGGCGCCTCCTCCAATCCAATTTCACCACATTACTAACCCCTGTGTTGCTATATAACACCTTTTGGCATTTGAGTCATTACGATCAGCTTTAGTCTGTCTCACACTGCCCGCTTCTCCAAACTTAAAGTTCACCTTTGAACGATTTACCGTGCGCTCTGTTAAACAGTAAATTGAAAAAGATAACGAGTCAGTTAAGGAAGAGGAAGAAATTAGGCCGACAGCGTGAGCTGTTTACGCACCCTTATTTTTTGGGAATAATCTTTTGTCACCGGATTATGACCTGAAAAAGATAACGGGTCAGTTAAGGAAGAGAAAGAAATTAGGCCAACAGCGTGAACTGTTTATGCACCCTTGTTTTTTGGGCATAATTTTTCTTCACCGGAGCATGACCGATTCATTTCACTGAGTGTGTTCTTGAATGAGATCAGACATTTCTCAAACGGGTTTAAGATGAATCGGACACAGGAGAGAATTTGCTTTGCTTCACTTATCATTCTGTCTCGCACTGTCGATTATTTGTGCGTCATTAAAGGACTTCATCCAATAAGTGAATTCATTGGTAGCGTGAACTTTATTCTTCTTGGGGTCTCTTTAGTTCACGCGATAAGTGAAGCCAGCCAGCATATGTGATCACGTGATGTGAATCCCGTGACTGAAGCATGATGTTATATCCTGTCTGAGTGCGAGTTAATCGTACCGCTGAACGGCAGCTCGTTGTCGAACAGTTGATCGATCGAACTAATAGCCCGGGGATCACGGGGTCGAGACTCCTTGTGTTTCGTGTAGTAAGCGATACTGATGTTTGCCAGTGAGGATGAAACAACTAAAAGTGCTCCTCTGCTTTCCAGTATTGATCGGCTTCATTTGTAGGACCAGATCTCCCTTGCTAGGTGAACTGCGAGTGAATTTAAGAATTTCTGGTTTTGACTATCGTTTAGGTTAAACAGATCGGCAACTAGCCTGTATTCTCATATGTGTACTCTCTAGAATACACTACACATCACGGGAACTATATCCCCACTTTACCCTTACTGCTGAGTGCATTGATATGTATCGATCGTCCATGTATTCTCGTCGAATTGTTCGTCCACACACTTTATCGATCGCCTCAAATCGATCCTTTTCAAACCGTATGAAGGCATTTGTTCTGGGATTCGATGGTTGCTCGAAATCAGATGCAAACCGGTAGTTCTGGGGACAACCCAAATCCATACACATGTGTATGACTTTAGGAGAGCTGAAGCGGACCGTCATAAACCAGTGGTTGAACTAGATCCAGTTGAGCCTCCGGTGAAGATCAAATGTGCGAGCAAATTAGCGTGTTTATCAAAATTTGTTAGATCTGGGTTCAAGTAGAGCATAAGGGTGAAGAAAACTCAGAGGTTGCGATTAATTGGTCAGCCGGATTGGAAAAGCGAAACCAGTTGTTGGATGCCGAATGGTTTCTACGACCTTATGGGCAGTGTGTTACGTTTAGATAAAGTTGGACTGTATTCATCAGAACAGCTAAGCTGAATAAAGTCTTCCTTACTTGAGTAGAAGTAAAGGATACATGTGAGCTGAGATATTGTCGTTGTGCTCACGCCTAAACAGGAGGACGGTTAGAGTGCTCAACAAAAGTCCTTGACTGAAAAGCGATGGTGTTTAACGAGAAACATCATTCCATTAATTTTTAGAGAGTTGGAAGACCGCCTTTGTGACGAACCGAACTATATCATGTCACATGGGAACCGTTGAGTTCAGTCTATGCTGCTGGATACTAGTCATCCACCGTAATTAAGGAACGAGCATCGTGAACGAAAGTGGAAGGTTCCTCCAAAGAATAAACTGTCAACTTTGGTGCAAATCAACTCAAACTATGCACAATATTCGTTGTAATTAGTAACTGTGTAAGAAACCACACCATTCCTGTTAGAATCTTGATCATATAGGCATGTCATGGACACAACCGCTTTGTGTGTCTTCTTGCATCTGCAAGTATTGAGGACAAAGTGTGGGAAATTCTTCACTACGTGCGCTAAATGAACAATCAAGAAGGCATTGAAACCCATGCGCCTGCGTGATTTGTTTCATTTGCCGTGGCCTAATGAATCTGCAGCGCTTGGACAAATTCATAAAGGCTTGAGTGAATAGCTAAACCTTGATCACTCTTCGTATAAATTGTCTGCGCACATTACTTTGTGTGAATTTCATTCAATTTTAAAAGAAAAGCAAACAAACGTCTTTTGTTTAACAGTTTACCTGGCAAATTTCAAACGTATAACTCATCTGTACAACTACCCCATAGCGGAGGTCTCGTTGCTGCTTTCAAAACTCAAATAGGCCTCCGAATACTACATGATCTAATGTAAGTAGTCCGAGCAATTGGGAAAAACACAGTAACATCTTCTGAACAGATCTGACCAGAAAAACAAGGATTTGTGGCATTTTTTTCGGTTGTGGACTGTTTCAGCCATGTTTTGAATTTTTTTTTGGTAGTTCTTTTGATCCAACTTGAAGATTATAGGCATGACGACGCAGCCGTGGTCTCCGGCCTCATGTCACCCCATGAGATACGCTCCATTCGTCCGCACATGAACCTTTGTGCACCGAACAGATGCAGATTTCGAACTATAAACTCTTATGACTTTATATTCAAGACTATTACTCATGCTTTCAACTAATGTGTGCCATCTGTGCAGTTTCACAAAACGAAAACGGGGAACGCACAGACAACCAGTAAGTTCATCTGACACATGAACTTGATGTTCACACGAGCGACGTTAATGTATTCGAACGTGTGTAACGCAGCTGTGTACTCCGGGCAGAGGGGACATATAAGAAGCACAGAACAAACACCCGATCTGAAAACTGTTGTCTCAGATGTACCGTCTTGTACTATGCTTTATTTGTAATGCATCAGCGATTCCCGTTCAGGACAACGTAAGTTTGTGGGAATCTTTCGTGCTAATGTTGAAAAGATATAGAACAAATGTCCCGTCTTTTTCAGTTACTCCTTACGGCTTGGATACTGTGATCACACTCATATGCATGCATTTTGGGATACCACTGAAAGTAAACGGCAATTTCAACTTTTAAATATCAGGAATACTCTTCGACAGTCCACGATAGGTCCTTCTTGGTCCTCATCAGACAGGCTCATTCCTCCTGTTTCTGCCAACCTATTATTGGACTTGAGCATACATCCATTTGTGAATCGTGTGTCCTGCTTAGTTTACCATTTTTGAGAGAAATGCTTCCCAATCGCTCCGACCTCGACTCCTATCCAGACGGAAGGAGCTATTCCAACGCCTCTGGGTCCGGTTTTGAGTGGCTTTTCAAGATGACCTCCAAATACACTTCAAGGGCGTCCACCCAGTGGTGGGTGCAAAATAACCGAGTCACTACTTAGTGACTCGTTCTATATGTGGTTCACAACTCCTGGGTTGAACTCGGTTTCACTTATATGCACAGAAAAGAATTTTGCCGTGCTTTGTGCTTTTTGCGGATAAATGTTTTGGACCTCCTGAACGCGTTGTTAGTTTTTTCGTCTTTCTTCAAGGAAGTTGTCCAACATTTTCAAACTCTTAGATGACGGCGGAATCAAATCAGGTGTTTGTTCCGATGCTGTAAGACGAAGCTAGGGGGAGCACCCCTTTTGAGGTATCACGTGGCAAGTACATACTTCATCTCTTAAAGAAACAACGTTCTTTTTGTCTTCAACCGGTGACAAAGTGTACTTCTCAGTCGGACCCACTAGGATGTGTTTTTGTGACAAAAAATAGTCCACAGTTTTTATCAGTAGTATATAACAATATGACATTTTTGCATCAACCAACATTTTCTCCCGAAACATTCAAATAGTTGATTGTGGCATACTCACTCTTTTTGGTGGGGGGATAACCTGCCTGACATAGTATCTAGACAGCCACTGCTCAATGTGTGTGACTGGTAGTAATCATTCATTCTTCTGCCGCGAACGCGTGTGATTGGCTGGGCCGGCTGGATATTGATTAATCGAAATTTTACCAGGACACATGTACAACTGATCAGACAGCGCTACCACCACAGTCTAGTCTCACTTGTCCACTAAACTATTCACTTGTTTGAGATGTTGCAAGCCTTACTCCAGGTGATTTCATTTTAAAACACCTTTATCACACCAAAGCAAGGATTTGTTCAGCAGTAGACAAACGGTATTAGATTAGCTAAGAGCACTTCAGTCGGGGGCGACATCTATTAAAGATCATTTTTCGGGCACTTGAGGATTTCCGACTGAAGACATCAGTTCGACACCCGTTAGAACCCCTTTCGTTCCGTAATTCAAGTCAATCTACGCTTGGAAGCCAGAGAAACACCGCAGGCGTTTTTCTACCAAAAACAACAGGCTATAAATTCGAATTCTTAGCTGTTCGGCTATTCGGCGTTCTTATTAGCTCACATGTAAACAGAATATGGCCCCACTCGTTATCCAATCACGAAGCCACAACAAACGGTCACGTATTGGCTCACTCCCCGAGTGAAAAGTTTACTTGTCGTGGGAATTAGACTTCTGTCTTAGCTGTTCATTATTTGTTGTTGACGTTTTTTTAAATCTCTGCATACAGTCAACAGAACGCTTTTGTTTCTCGAAGGGACTAATCACAACTTATTGGGATTCTCGGTATCTGGGCAAACTAAACCTGACGAATGATACGCATTTGATCGTCTGGTCATTATTCCCCCGTCGATCGACGGACCCGCCAGTCCAACGCAGTTCTTCCAGCGACTGGATTCAAATGGATCTCCAGAGAAATTCATTTTCGGGCGAATCAAATTCACTACGACTTTACTTGGACGAAAGTCGAATACTCAAAGATTGCCTCTTCAACCCCGATGGTATTGGTGAACCCGTTCCTCCGAAAACGGATACCTTCCTCTCTACACTGTGAGTGAGTTTGGAAACTGGGGCAAAACTATGCTTTCCGTTTAATCGATCTGATTTCTTTGTGTACGAACGATTTATAGAGAAGGGATAGACAATCACTCGAGGGCGCACTGACTGTCCCCTCGCCAGATGGGAAACCGCCAGCAATCCTAACAAATAACTCACCCATCGAGTGGTCCATAATGATAATTCTTTGAAAATAAAACTTTTACAACGTTTGAATGAAAACAAAAAATCGCGAACACTTTTATCTCCTGTCCCTATTGGTTCTCTTTCCAGATCAAATATTTCCGTTCATGATTTCAACCTCCACTCGGGTGACTCGATGCTTTCCATCTGTCGGATGTTTCAAGACAAAAAAACAACCTTGGTGCGAAGTTTACGGAGAGTGGAACGCCAGACAGGGATTTCAGTTGGTCAAACGAACGCCCTACCTAACCATTTGAAGATGCCCAACACAAATTACTGTGGTCCCAGTAAGTATTCAGTAGAGAAAAAACTCTCGAAAACTAGGTTCTAGTTTCGTACCAGTGCGTTTACTGTACCGTAGATCGTTTCGACACACACACACATCTGCCAGTCAAACAAAAAACTTTGAAGGCAAATCTATTGACGTTACAGGAACTAGTCAGACAACGGATTACGGTTGACTCTTCCAGAACAGTGATGCTCACTGCAACGCTGTGATCCACAGCCTGTCTGAATGTTTCGACCGTATTTAGCGGACTTGACGCTGGAAGAAGAGGCTGTACTGGACTGGTCAACGACATTGTCTATTGTCTCATCGATCTATTTTCTTGTGTGTACAGTTCGTCCACCCCATCAGTGATGAAGATTTGCACGCATGCACAACTGAGCAAGTTGCCGGCACCACACTCGACGTGCATCAGGCATACCGCAGTTTTTGTCAACGAAGATATCGTCACCCCCATAGTGAAACTGGGAAGCTATCTGAACAGTGCTCATCATCAGTACTGATCTTAAAGTTTAGTCAAACGATACTTTACGCAGAATGAACTGAATGGACAGTCACTAATGAATTTGAAACAGCATTCTTGAAGAATGATTGAAAGAGACGGCAAAATTTGAGGGGTTTGCTGTGATTCATGCGTCTTTACTTGGTTGCTATGCAACAAAATGTGCGCATTACGTTGGAGACGGTATACGTTCACGTTCACTGGCTACTTTCTGTAATTTGGTGATTGTTTTCAGTTTATCGATTGGATAGAAAACGGTCTCTTGGTATTGATTCATTCATTCAGCAGCACATGAATGCCAGTGACATGATCCCCAGATGGAGGATGGTGACTGGCATACTGTCAGTCTTACTGTTTTATCCGACTCCTGTTCCCGCTCCAGTGCCTGGTGCCGGCAAAAGACTCGCCGATAAGGAACATAACAGTTTTATTGTGAAAAAGCGAGTGCGAGAGCATGAGTGCGAAAATACAACGGTCTCAACCCAACCTATTGGAGGGACTCTGTCTGACCTTGGTCCAACGCTGTCTCGCGCTGTCTGGCTTTGATACAAGCCTGTCACGCACTGCATATTTAGGGGGCGTTGTCTATCAGGTCAGTGTCTAGTAAAGTTGAGGGTCTCCGTAGACTTCGTGCATTAAGTGGTTACTTTCAGGAATCCGACCTTCCTGATACTCACATAGATCAATCATCCTCATACCGGACGGCCAATGGCATGTATGAATCTACTACCTGATATTCGGATGACATCTTGTAACACTGTGTAACCAAACTTTCGCTCAGCCCTCTCCGTCTGCAAGGAGAAGACCGAGTTGGCAGTCGTGGCATTCAGATTCACCTATCGAGATGGTCCACAAATGAAACAGCCGCTATCCTTAGTATGGAATAGCAACAAACTTTGAAAAATTTCGCCCAGAAGAATCAGTGGTTCCGTGGAACCGTCCGTTCATTATTAATTCTTCTTTCATCCTGTTACAGGCGGAGAAATCTGTCTCTTTACTCCCTTACGCAAAAGAAAGGTGGAATATCCCATCCTGATTTTGTAGGTCAACAGCTGAGGAGGGGAAAACAATGACTGTCAACCTTGTCTCGTGCTGGGTTTCACTCAGTGGTCGGTACTATTCTGTGAGGTCAATTTGACTTTGAAAGATAAGCATACTGGCAGGATCCATGCTCGTGTGCCCAAAGGCTTTAATCAGGCACCGTTTTATTCCCCTATCGAGGTCTGTCCATGCTACCACAATAGGGCAGCATCTCAGCTGATCTATCTGTGTTCCTGATCTGTCTGTGTTGCTGTATGTCTGTGTCGCTGGTCTGTCTGTGTCACTGGTCTGTCTGTGTCGCTAGTCTGTCTGTGTCGCTGGACTGGGACGGGCTGGTATTGATCGCCTGACTCAGCTGCACGTTTGCACTGTCGTACCCGGGCCGCAGGACGTTTGAATTCCTGTTTGTGGCACGCTCACATCCCCCGGGAGAGAGCGGCCTCAATCGACTTCCAGGCGATGTTAAGGCGTCGTACGCAAGTGCGTCCGTGCGCACCGCAGTCACGACAGGCAACGTGCGGATTGGTGTTCCGAAAAACAGCGCTGACGCTGCGCACACAGAGTCTACGGTGATAGTAAGAAGGCCGGTTGTTAATTTAGACTTTTCGAAATATTGCACGTAAACCACGATAGTTAGCTTCTAATATCTGGGAAATTGCGAGGCGCGCCAGCGTCTTTTGTCCACATTGTTCATTGAACCTGAAAAAAATGGTTCATTCTTACTATCGATCAGGATCGCAATCAAACCGCTTTGTGAAGATGACCTGGAAATGCGAAGGTTTACATTGACTGGGGCTCGGCATAACACACTACTCATTAGGCTGTGGTAGCTCTTCGGCAGCCCACGTCCGGTTTCACTTTTTTCGCGGCTCATTAGGTAGGCGCAGTCCCCCAGTTTCTGCCAATTCTTGGACGGAATTAGTCAAGCACTCTCGTTTGCATACGGAATTCATTTTGACGTGAGATTCAACTGAATCCAGATAAATCTTTCGTTTATGATGGCCGGGTTTGTGATATCTCAACCGTTTCAGAGAAACGGATTTTTTCCTTCAGCAAGGAATGATGCAAGCATCATTATAATTGTTTTTTCGTTTCTGGTGGATTTCCAGTTGTATTTTTTGAATTCTTACTCAAACACCAATTAGACGCGTCATCAGCCAAACTAAGTTTGTTAGTCAGGGTGACCAAAACGTTAAAAATGACCAAGCAATTAACTAATCAACGTTTATTGGATAGTGCCTCGAGTGACATAGTCATGCTGGTAGAGCCTGGGGGTGGCATGCAATTAGAGTCAAAGTCCGGGATGATCGGTCGAGTTGGACCAATCAATTTACGGACCCGGATTGTTAGAAAGGATAAGCTTGATTTGAAGTGTGGGGTGCGAAGTGAAACATGCATTATGTGGAGTATATTATGAGGAAATTGCAAGCGAAATTTGTTGTATCAACCAGATTAACTCTGTCTCCACTTTCACTTCAGAGAAGCTCCACCTGAGAGTGATCTGTCTCTCTTAGAATCAATGAGACTCTTCAAGAGACTAACCACTATTCGTAGGAGGTATTTTGAAAGCGATAAGTTGGAGGATCACCAATCTTCCAGTCACAAGAATGTCCCACCAAAAGCATTGTGTAGTGTCTGAAAAACTGAAAATTTATGGTTCTAAATCTGTGATGACGCGGCCAAGGGCTATGCATTCGGAAAGGTCAACCACCGAGACAAATGTTCTGCGCGGCCTTTGCAGAATGGCGTAAAGTGTGAGGTTGACAAGGTATGAATTGAGTGAGCAAAGTGTGTGAAAGAAATTACGAGTAATTAAGGTGTTGTTGGTGCAGTCCATTTTTCAGAGTGAGGTCCCCTCTATTCGGCTGAAGACTACACGTAATCGCAGGTAAACAACATCCGTGGCGATCGTGTTTCAAAATCGTTCCCGGTTTGTCTGACTAAGCGCTTGAAGAGGTAGGCACCCGAGGATCCTCGCGGCAGACCAAAACTCCACTCTTTTATCTCCGTATTACTTTATGGTCGTGGTGGGAAGATGAATGAGTGTCAACACTGGTGTTGCTGTCTCTGATGATGACGATAATGTATTTACACTTGTTAAAAGAGTGGGATTAGGGTGGTAGACCTTCAGTTGCGAACAGAAAAAGAGTCGCTCTGGGAAGTCAGCTGTTTGCACCGCAAATTCGAAAGATAGCAATGATAAAATTTCAAAACGACAAGCCGAAACACTCGAATATCATCGTAATTTTACGACC